AGGGATTATCGAGTAGTCGTGAAAACGCAAAGACTACATGCTAGTCAATTACCCAATATCTAACATCCCTACTCAGCTCCCTGGAAGATGTTTGTGTACTCCTGGGCTACGTCTAGATTGGTATGATTTTCTGGAAATGCTTTTAACAGAAAAGTTTTCCGTTAAAAGCATTTTCGGAACAGAGTGTCTAGATTGGCAGGACGCTTTTCCGCAAAAGCACTTTTTGCAGTTAAACATCCGTGCCAATCTAGACGCGCTTTTCCGCAAAAAAAGCCCCAATCATCATTTTCGCGGTCGGGGCTTTTTTGCGCAAAACAAATCTGAGCTGTCTACACTGGCCCTTTTGCACAAAAGCTTTGTACAAAAGGGACTTTTGCCTGAACGGGAGCAGAGTAGTATTTCCGCAAGAAGCACTGATTTCTTACAGTAGGAAGTTAGTGCTTTTGCGGAAATTCAAGCAGCCAGTGTAGACAGCTGGCAAGTTTTTTCCAGAAAAGCGGATGATTTTCTGGAAAAACTGACCAGTCTAGACACAGCCCTGGGGTATTTGTATCCATCACTGAAAACCATTGTTCTGAGCAGAACAAAACTGCAAAATAGCTCCAGTGCAAACAATTAACATACCTACAAGCCTGCAAAGAACAGTCAGGGGCTGCACACAACTGGGGAACCCCCCCCCTCCAGCGTGGGTTCCCCAATGCTGGTGGGAGAGGGGGTGAGCCTCAGGGTCTGGATCCAGGCAAGCTGGGAGCTGCATCTGGACCTGGGACCTTAGATTCCCCACCTCTGCTGTAAAGGGCCACATTCTAAAAGGCTGTCTGCATGAAGATTTAGTTTGTTGTAACTTGGGATGTGAATCTACTCCAGGCTTTTTTTGCCGTGGTGTATCCCACTTTTAATCTGGTTATGTTTCAAAGTGCACTAGCAAACTGTTAGTGCAGGTCAGCAAGGTGCTCGTAGTGCAGGTCAGCAAGGTGCTCGTGGACAGGAAGTGCCTGGCAGGCTACCACAGGATAAATCCACACCCCAGCTTGCTATAAACTAAATGTTTGCTTAGAGGAGCCCTAAGAAGCCTTTTGTTATACATAAACTTCCTCTCATGCTTGTTTCTGTTTTTGTCTTTGATACAGAAGTATGCTATCATTATCAGTGACATCTGAATTAATCAAAGAGGGGAGTGTGTTATTAAAACAAGGCAGTTTCATGAAACTTCACCAAACACACACATGATACAGTATCTATTATATTTGTTTATATAGCATCTTGGGTTAAGCCCCCTGATATGTGGAATCAGTAGAAGCGAAGCTCTCATCATTTGGGGGACATTCTGTCCCAATCCTGGTTAGTAGGAAGGACTCTTGCTCTGTCTGAGCAGGGCTGGTTCTTTCCCACGGGAAGCTCCGATAACAATGACTTAAAAACCACCACTGCCCCAGCACTAGGTGATGTACTACAGCTTCTAATGGTGGAGCTGGTCCAGTGCAGACGTTAAACCAAAACTGACCACTGACATGATCTTCATATATAAAGCTGACTACGCTGATAACAGTAACCCCCAACATCGGATTGTCTTACTACTAGGAGACAGAGAGAATTGCCACCACCCTTGCAACACTCTTGCAAGGCCTGTTGTTTAACTTGAGATCTCAGCCTACCCTGGCATAGCTACAGTTTTTTTTTTTTTTTTTTTAAACACTAGTGCAAAGAACTTGAGTTTCCTGTTCTTAGTTGGTATTGGTTAGTTAGTATTATGGAAGGTTCTGAGAACCATTTTTGGATCTTTAAAACCAGCCTAGTATTGACTACAGATTTTTAGCAACTAAATTCTAAATATTGTCTAAATTTTTTGTTTTGCTTTTATAGTTCATTTAAAGCATGCAGAACAGAAATGTCCAAATGTGAGTGTAGAAAGAAACTGTCTGTACTTTTTTGTTTTGTTTTTGTGTTCCAAAAGTATAACTGAATAGAGACTTCAGATAAAATGACCGCCAGTTCAACTTGAGTAATCAGAAAACAAAGTAGAATCATAGGGCTATTGGTTTTCAGGAACGTTGGATTTCTATTGCTATGACTTGAAATCAGAATTTATCTCCTAGAAGAGTGGTCTCAAACTGTATCTCATGCCTCCTGAAGTCGGAAGCAGATCCACAGCTCCTGGAGGGAGTGTTTGGGGAGGGGAGGAAATAGACAGGGTAAGGGGGCAGGGCCGAGTGTGGAGCTGGAGCCTTAAGAAGGAGCTGGGACCCTGGCTGTGGGGTTGGCAGCTAGGCAAGGAGCGGAGTTATGTGGTATGCACTCTGTCCCCAATGGAGACTGGCCTGGGCCCCAGCTATGCTCCCCTCCCTGCCTGAACATGCACTGTGCCTAACTAGAGGGGCAGAGCTCACCATTCAGAAATCTCTGTCTCTTTAAACTGCCACACAATTATGGTTATAAATCATGGAGCCACATTTAAATCTAGCAGAAGCAGTTCACTTCCATGAGCTCCATGAAGTTGCTCCTTCCTTATACAAAATCTAATATTTGCACCTCTAGACTCATGTACACCTGAACATTCCCAGCTGAACCACAAAAAGAACCTGTATACTGCAGCTTTAGTATTCAGAACCACAGAATGAATGCTACTATCTGAATCAGGTGCTTGGTCAGTAACTCCAGAGTGAGAACGTCTGGGTCAGGGTTCAGGTTAGTTTAGATTGGCTCAGTTGAGCACTTGCCGGTTTGTCCAAGAACAGTAAAGCTACTGTGTGTTGGATCCTCAACATGAAATGGTATTTGAAACTGCAGTTAGAGCACAGGTTTGTTTGGGATTTTTCAGTGTGGGAGATGTGGTTCAGAGGTAAACAGATGAATGGCTCTAAGCAATGCACTTCTGTGTCAAGTGACTCCTAAACTTGAATTAAAGATCAAAAATGTTGTTTCTAGTGATCATAATAGCATTTCTGCCTATATACCAGATTGTATGTACTCACATTAAGAATTGCATACTATTGCTATTTTAAGAACTTTGAATCATAAAATCATAGAATACTAGAACTGGAAGGGACCTTGAGAGGTCAAGTCCAGTCTCCTGCCCTCATAACTGGACCAAGCATCATCTAGATATTTATCTAACTTGCTCTTCAATATCTCCAATAATGGAGATTTCACAACTTCCTTATGCAATTTATTCCAGTGCTTATCCACCCTGACAGTTAGGAAATTTTCTGAATGTTCAACCTAAGCCTCCCTTGCTGCATTTTACGGCCTTTGCTTCTTGTCCTATCATCAGACATTAAGAAGAATTTTTCTCCCTCTGCCTTGTCACACCCTTTTAGGTACTCAAACTGCTATCATGTCCCATCTCAGTAATCTTTTTTTTCCTCTCAAACTAAACAAACCCAATTCTTTTAGTCTTACCTCTTAGGTCATGTTTTCTAGACTTTTAATCGTTTTTGTTCTTCTCTGGACCCTCTCCAGTTTCTCCACATCTTTACTGAAATGTGCTGCCCAGAACTGGACACGATACTCCAGTTGAGGCCTAATCAGCACAGAGTAGAGCAAAAGAATTACTTCTCGTGTCTTGCTCACAACACTCCTATTAATGCATTATAGAATCATGTTTGATTTTTTGCAACTGTGTCGCACTGTTGACTCCTATTTAGCTTGTGGTCCACTATGACCACCAGATCCCTTTCTGCAGTATTCCTTCCTAGACAGTCACTTCCTGTTTTTTGTATGTGTTGAAAAGATTGTTCCTTCCTAAGTGGAGTACTTTGCATTTGTTCTGATTGAGCATCTTCCTATTTACCTCATACCTTTTCTCCAATTTGTCCAGATCATTTTGAATTATGACACTTATCCTCTAAAGGAGTTGCAACCTTTCCCACCTTAGTATCATCTGCAAGCTTAATAAGCATATTATCTGTGCCATGATCTAAATCGTTGATGAAGATATTGAACTGAACCGGTCCCAAAAATGATCCCTGTGGAACCACACTTGATGTGCCCTTCCAGCATAGCTCTGGACCACTGAAGCACACTTTTTGTGAAGGCTATGTAATCAAGGCCCGGGGATGTGTTGTGTCTATGTTGCAAAAGTAAACCCACATTTATGAGACTCCAATCCTGGGTCAACTGATTTGGGCTTGCTCTGTGGGGCTCAAAATACCAGTGTAGATGTTCCTGCTTGGGCTCTGAAACCCCCGCCCCCTCCGATTAGGTTGCAGAGTTCAAGTGGGAATGGCTACTCTGATACTTTTAGCTCCGTGGCTGAAGCTCAAATCTATTGACCTGGGTTCTGAGACGTGATGCGCTGTGATGGGTATGGTTTTCCTTTTTTTTCAGTGTAGACCTATCCTTGGAAAGTTTGCTCTCTTGTGACATGACCTCTGCCCCTTACACATCTCAGAGGGGTAGTAATGTTAGTCTGCAACTTAAAAGACGAGTGGTCATGTAGCACCTTAGAGACTAACAGATATGTTTATATATAATAGTATCATTAGCTTTCATGGGCACCGCCCACTTCAGATGAGTGGAATGCCCCTTACAGTTCAAAGGTGGAAAGGGAAACTTGACAACATAGGGCTAGAATGTGATTAGCTCTGCACCAATTTACTCCTTTACTCCTCTTCTTGCTCCTCATTTTCTAAATTGTATGCCTATTCATGGGGCAATGGTTGCAATCCTAATCCTTTTATGAGAACTGCCACTTCCAGTGTATTTAGAGGCTGGACAGTTCTTTTGGAGCCAAGCTTACCTCTTTTTGATGTATGTTTTACTACTATAAAGGGCTTTAATAAATTGTGAATTACATATTTTTTTGGAGAAAAAAACACATCCATGCTCAGGCTGCCTGTTCTCTCCCTTTAGCCACTGACAGGATTCTATAATATTTGCCTTGCCTTATGTATGCTTCACTTTTGTCTCCTGTTAACTAAAATATCTTGACTGTTATCTAATACTTCAAGAAGTTAAGCCAAAAAGATAAATGGAAAAAAATCTTGTTTTTTGTTTTTCAGCTCTTCCTCCAAAGCCCCCGAAACCAATGACTCCGGTCAACCCAAATGGAATAAAGGACAATTCCAGTTTCTCTCTGCAGGATGCAGAATGGTATTGGGGGGATATTTCAAGGTAAAGAACAATCATTATTGGAATAAAATGAGCCTTTTAAAGAGATGCTCCTTTTTTGAGCCTGTATATGAGTAGTGGGTAACTCTGGGGCCCTCTGGGGTTCTATGTTCAGGCCACTCCTTGTCCCTCTTTGGTCTGTCCCCCTGTGCCTCATGTGCTAGGGGCCCCGCTTACCTACTCTTCCCTGCCTCCCAGCACTTCAGTACTGCCATGAATCAGATGATTCAGGCCCTGTCCCTGCTTATCCCCCTCCTTCCTAGAGTTTGAATGCCAGGCATCTACTGATATGCAGCATTCAAACTCTAGGGGAAGGGGGGAGGAGAAGGGAGAGGAGGCGGAGAAGAGACAGGGTGGGGCTTTGAGGGAAGAGGTAGAGTGGGGGCAGGGACTGGAGAGGATTGGAGGGTTGAGCAGCCCCTGGCAAAATGAGAAGTGACACACATTTAAAGCAAGGGCACATGTGAGATGCATGCTGATTGCACACAATATTGTAAGAGCCATGCACTCCTTCTGCTGCTTTGTTACTTTTGCCAGCAATTTAATTTGCCCCTAATAATGGATCACTTTCTGTTGAAAAGGCACGATAAAGAAGGATAATCAAGTGCAATGTATTTAATCTTATTCTTAGGGTCATGGTTAGTGCACATGCCCACTGAGATGGAGGGCTGCTCATGCGGTTCAGTCGCTAGCCTTGGTTGCCCGATACAGACGTTTCACTGCAAGAACTTCAGTTAGGCCCAGAATTAGTTGAACACTTAAATGTGTGCTTAGTACTACGTTGAATTGGTAACTGAAAGTGTTTAACATGTTCCTCTGTGGTTATTGTTCTAGAACAGTAGTTCATAATCTTGTTGCTACAATTGTTTTCTTGGATAAACGATTCTTTCTACAGAATGTTAAGATTTTTTTTTTAGAAGCTTTTCTAGCCTTTCAGGTTGCAAAGGAAAGCTGTTCTGAATATCCTGGCATCAGTCATTAGATTTATTAAACATAGCATTGGGGAATGTGCAATTCATGCAGCTTTCAATAAGAGTATATTTATGTCTCTACATAAAAAATAAAACCAGTAAACTAAACTAGGGGGCTACACTCGCCATCCCCCCCTCTCTGCTGGTTTTCATGGCCAGTGAAGCTTGAGAGCTATGCTCACTAACCCTCCTCTCTCTGGGGGTAGGTGTCTAGCCAAAGGGGCGGGAGCAGGAGTGGGATGAGGGTACAGGGTCTTGGTGGAGGGGTTTGAGTGAGGGGGCTGGGAGTGCGGGGTCTCGGCTTGGGGGGTATGAGTGAGGGGGCTGGAGCCGCATTGGGAGCCTGTGCTGGCACTCTAGCCTTGCTTCCTCCCAAGCTGAGACCCCCACATCCCTACCTCCCTCACTCACCACCCTGCTGAGACCCCTCATTCTCTAACACCAGCTCTGCTGTCCCCGTGTTCCCCCTGCATCAGGGAGCCTTGCCCCCCACCTCCCCATGATGTTGAAGCACCAGCATTGGCTTTCTGGTGAGGAGGGGAGGGAGAGCCCCAAGGCTCCCTGTGCGCTGCCACTTCCCTTCCCCCTCCCCCAGCTGGGGGAATAGCAGTGCAAGGACACACTTCAAGAGGGCTTTCCCCTGGCGCTTCAGCCTCTGAGAGGAGGGGAGGGCAAGGAGATAGAACTGCATTGTGTGAGGAGTCTCAGCCAGGGGTGTGTGAGTGAGGGGGCTGAGGGTGCGTGGTCTCGGCAGGGCAGTGATTGAGCAGGCTGGGGATGTGAGTTCTCAACTTGGGAGCTCTGAGTAACGGAACTGGGGGTGGCAGGAGGAGGGGCTGCAGCCGGTAGGGCTGCAGGGGAAGAGGCCAGTCAGCAGCAAAGATGTCATGGGGCAGGCTTGAGCACCCAGAGGCGATGGTAGCGAGGCACGATGGCAGGCCCAGGCGGCAATGGTAGTGTGGCGCAAGGAGGAGCTGTGGAGGAAGAGACTACTCAGCAG